GTGTGTGTGTGTGTGTGTTTGTTTTTGTGCGTGTGTGTGTGTGTGTATGTTATGTATATATTTATATTCATATTTAGATTTCGATTTAGATTTAGATTTAGATTTAGATTGTATACATATAATAATATATGTACGCTATAGTTCACGCCATTCTCTTATCATGATGTCCACATCATTCCTGCTGCGACCGTATATACTGTAGTCATGTTGAGGCGTAAACACGAGAATACCGGATTTGCGGTGCGTTTTCTGAGGGACGGCAAACAAACAGGTCTGGGGCATCCCTACGAAGTGACTGTGAATTCTTTCGATATATACCCCTCCATGTCAGAGGCCTACAAACACTTTCAAAGGTACAGATGAGGTGTAGTGGTTAGTACCAAAGAATGACAGTGTCCATGCACATAGTTCAGGTTGGTGTAGATGAGACGCATGCATCCTTGTACTACTTGATCCTATCACAAATGTGAAGGGTAAGTGACCAGCGCAACGTATCATTCAGCTATCCCGTGTTGACGACCAATGATATATACATCGAGCCAATTTCTCGTGCACAGCACCGGACACGCCTATAACTTGATTGGTAACTTGACCATCCTTTTTCTATTGAGCTGGCAAGTGCGGAACCTTAGGATGATGCGCGTACAATCTTCTGGATTCATGTACGATTTGAGCTATTTCGAAGCAGATGCATGTGCTTGCATGCTCGCTGAGACCTAACTTTAGACTGAAATAAGTACCTTGAGTGACCCGAAAACCCTTAATAATAAACCAAAAAAGATCCTCACAACTGTATTTTTATTTGGTTCCGACTTCTCTGTTACCGCTCTCCAGACCACCAGACGCCGAGGAACCCGAAAATGCGGATGGGACTAAGGACACGAGTGTACAGACCCAGACCACTTAAAATAACAATGTGTTCCAATTGCCTGAGACAATTCCCCAACGTTACACAGGCAAATCAGATGTCGAGTGATCCGTAACGACTACCAAAGGGAGTGTAGGACGGCCACCCCTAAAGTATCTATGACCTATCTGTGCTGTAATGATAGCCTTGCACACCGATTTGACCGTAAGTATAGATCCGGAGTGTCTAACCTTCAGTTCACCGAACGCACCGGTCAAGAGGAGCATCCGTACATTCGACCCCAAGAGTTCTCAGACGCAAACCTCATCCACATGTAGATTCCGACTATAGATTCCTATACACTCGGCACATACGTCTCTGGCCTACGATTTGGCCTACAGCCACGAAGATAGTAGTGTTTGGATACGCTCGCTACATACAGCAAGTCCCTGGAGAAATATAGTCAGACTGTCCGCGAGGAAAATCGATATCCACCCTCCACCCACCACGTCTCGGTGATTGATACATCGCTAAGGAAAAACTCCCGTTTTTTGCGCTCGTAACGTGATTGGCATTTCTTGTCATGTCAACGGTTTTAACCCCTAAAACCCTAAAACGAAGGTGGTTTGTCTTGTCCTGGATGCCAACTGAGAGCATACAAAGATCCGACACACCCTTAGCAACAAGCAAGGTGCAGACGGCCACGTGTGAGCCCTCGTGATACCATCGGTAGATGTATAGCGGACACACTAGAGTGTCCGTCGAGCAGTTCAGTTAATGCACTGGGGTAGCACTGCGCCTGAGACTTGTTGATATAAAGCCATGTAACAATGTAATAAACCGCTTCGAGAATGGGATACTAACCCGCTTTGAAAATGGGGTATTAATGTGCACCTTCACAAGTATCAACTCCCAGGCTTTCAGGATACGACCGATTAGGTTTGATTTGAAGGTAACATAACTGAAAGGGGCACCAAATAAACACATGATAATACACTAACGTTGGTCGTGTGACTGCTGTGCAAATATGTATTGCCTGCACGAGGATTGAAAATTACTGGCTGATATGCTAATATACATCAATGTCTACCTATCTGCTTGCGATATTCTTCCAGCACAAACTAATAGTCATTCTCGTTATAACAGGAAACATGTACATAGGCTCGAACAAAACTGGTTCAAGCGTGTACACGCAAAAAATAAGAGTTGCAGGTGACATGGAAACAAGGTCGTGTGATTATTTTTATAGTAATTTCTAAGCGAGAAGAACAAGTCAAAAAGTCGCATCACATATTTATATATTTGTCCTACTACGACGAAATGACATCAGCCTTCACAATCATACGAACACGAAAGCACAACCATACTAACACGAAAGTACAATCATACGGACACGAAAGTCACAGCCCACATACCTCCCATGCTAAAACATGAGCAATCGATGAAACGAATGTTAAAATTAAAGAGCGACTTTATTGCGAATTATTAATCAACTGAGACAGCTGCAATCTAGCAGTATAGAAACCTTACAAGATACTTTACAAAACAGAGGCCGCTATGCACAATCACTACAATAAACACACAATCGTTGAAACGACATAAAACACCATACGTTTCAATTCAACCTGTACCAATTTGCGTATCTCCCTTCGGACCAGTCTTTAATTATAATCCTTTTAACGCAGACACAGCAGTTGACGGAAAAACAAGCGAAGCGAATTATTTATTTGAGCTTCTTCTTGGGGCGCAACTCTTTGGTGTGGCCACACTTCTTTTTGCGACAGTTGGTGGCACGCGGGGGTAGACGAGAATAACACCTGGACATAAGAATATTAGATGCCGACAACATAAGGTTATATATATATATATATTATTACATCATATATTACAGTTAATTCAAACTGATCAAGTAGATGCCATCACTTACACGCATAACAAATGTGCAATAACCATACATTTAAGAGTACGAGATATCTTGCGACAGAATAGAAAGACGGTACGTATCTATGCATCTATGTATTCGAATACTCTCGGAAGTAAACAAATGTCAATACCAAAAATGAAGTGTATAGTAATAGCACAGCACATGGGGCGCAATTCGAGATGAGATGAGATCAGTTGCATCAGACAGCCAAGGTGCAAATCAACATCGCCGGCATAGCGTATCAGCTGAAATAGTCGCGAAACTGCATACATTATCATCAGTAACAACTGATCTCACCCCTATACCGAAATTGATGCCGTCATAAGCACTACATGCATGTGGAATACACAGAAGCATCAATAAGTGTATTATTGTTTCATTTAAAACGTAATGGTACTATCTTAGATATGAATCAGCCATTTTGTTTCAGTCTGCTGGTGTCTGAGGTGTACCTCGTCGAGCCTAGCATAGTCTATGGCATTGTGCATGATTGGCAAGATAATTTGTACAGCACAAAAGCATGCTTAGTTCATGACCACACAATTGATGCTTATCTAGCGTAATACACGCCGAAAATTCTAGCGTGGATTGCATGAAATAAATAACTATCACGTATACGCGCTGATCGCCTAAACAGATATATATTCCAGCTTGGACTGATAAAGTACAGAAATAACAGCCAGGAACTACTACATACTTGCGGCAGATCATCTTGTCGCAGTTGTACTTGCCGGCCAGCACCTTTAGGGCGGGCTCGATGATACCACCACGAAGACGAAGTACCAGGTGAAGGGTGGACTCCTTCTGGATGTTATAGTCGGCTAGTGTGCGTCCATCTTCCAGCTGCTTACCGGCGAAGATAAGACGCTGCTGATCAGGGGGGATACCTGTGACGGTATACACGGTGAATATATAATGTAGATGTTGGGGTGAAGTGGTAGAAAAAAGAATAAGAACATGTGAATGGATATGTCAGAGGGCATATACAAGGATTAGCCGGAACTGACAGCAGTGGTTGGTTAACGAGTCTATTATATTAACATGCAAATGCGTGCAAATGTTGTTTAAATTTACCCGAGGAGATGAGATCAGTTGCATCAGACAGCCAAGGTGCAAATCAACATCGCTGGCATAGCGTATCAGCTGAAATAGTCGCGAAACTGCATACATTATCATCAGTAACAACGATATCATCTCCCCCAGTGAACTTGCACTGATACACGCGCTAAACATCTGCAATACAACACCAGTATGTGGTTGTGCAGGAGCTTTGCAACACAGATCGTGCGTCATAACAAATCATAAATACAAATACAAGCTTGCCTAAACACGTACGACATACCCTCCTTGTCTTGGATTTTAGCCTTGACATTGTCGATGGTGTCCGAAGACTCCACGTCCAAGGTGATGGTCTTACCCGTTAGGGTCTTCACGAAAATCTGCATCTTCGTTGCTCTGTTGTGTAAGATAATATCGCTGTGAATATATGCACTTTCATTGCACTTTTATGTAAGTGCATCAAATGAACTCGTAGTGCTCGTATTCGGAGCTCGGGTTCGTGATGAGCCTCTTCTTTATCCACATGCATTGTATCTCGTTTACATATTCAAATGTTGTGCGGTTGAGATTTTCTGATACCAACGTATTCAAACGTTGTGCAGCTGAGGCATTATTCCCATACTTTCGTATTTGGTAAATTATCTAGTGCGCCACAATGTCTAAATTTGCCACTTACACATGTTTCACATACAATCATGAGTGTAACCTATATTCCAGTGCATTGTGTATTTGTGGGCGGCATGCTAATATTTCTGTTGGAAGCCACATTTTAGATGTTATAATCGTCGTATATAGCATTGTTGGTTGCAGTTGCTTCTGTTTCCGGACTGTGTTTTTTTGTTGTTCTTTCTGCGGTCGTAGTAATCAGCTCTTCTACTACGTTGCTATGGTTAAGTGTACTCGTTGATGTTGTTTCATTGTTCGATGTGCCATGTGTAGTGTAAATCGTATCAATGATGTTTGACGATGCACCCTAAACTCATGATGCACAGTGTAGAGTTTGTAAATACTGCTCAGGCGCTGCGATCGCAACGACATCCCGTCGGTGTCTGCTGACTATTTGCTATATAAGCTGTATATTAGTGTTGGGACACTCCAACTCAAGATTGTTCGATCAACACGCTACACTTATCACACCACCACACCAAGACAAAGCCAATCTACGTACCCTAAGGAAATAAAAAGAAACACTGGAATGTACTGCAGCGTACCCTTATAACTCAAATACTTGTGACGCCCTTGCAACCACGCGACAGCAATCGCCCCTTCCACTCTGGCCCAAATGATCAATATATCAGTAATATAATAACCCAGCCACATGGAATTCCTCGTTAATTGGTCAGTACTTATTCTAGCTGTGCGAAGGCGTCTATTTTGAAAAATTCAGGGTGATTTTTAAAGAAATTTTGCACATCTCAGGGTTCAGCGCGCGCTCAGAAATTGGTCCAATAATAATCGAATTACTTCATATCAAGGGAAAGCCACAAACGCCAGCCTCCAGCCTCCAGCCTCCAAGTGACCAAGTCTCACTCTCCAGTCTCTCTCACACTCACAGTCACAGACTCACAGTCTCCCAGTCTCACTTTTGAAGTTCCGACGTTTGAAGTCTCTACTCTCTCTCTCTAGAGTCACTATATATGCCCTAAACCGATACTTTTGCACAACACATGTTAGCCAAGAAGTTATACTGCTTGGAAGATTTAAAATATGTTGAATCTCTGCACTTTTCCACAACTAATCGTAAATTTGGATATGCTAGAAAACAAATGAGTATCGAGTATATGACAAGAAATCGAACAATTCTCTTCTAATTGATTCCGAAACAAACGAGTCGGCCCTTAGAGCTAGTGCTAATGATTGAGTATATGAGTTCAAGTGTATCCAAACAGATACTGTTTAATGATCAACTATGTGATGTACATACAATCGGCTATCCTACATATACGTTGCTATCATATCGAATAATAAATAGTTTCATAAAATACGTGCAGCCGCCATATATATATTACATGCAATACGAAGTGCATA